CCGTACCGGAATCACACCATCCACCTCACCCACATTTATTGTGTTGTACTGATAAGTTATCACACCATCCACCTCACCCACATTTGTTGTGTTGTGTTGATAAGTTATCCCGTTTGAATACGATCCAATTCCGTTACGGAATTCCGGGAATTGCACCAAGACGGAATTCAGTGGAATTGGACGGAATTCCTGGGAATTCCTACCGATTCCCACCAATTCCGGAATTGCGTGGACTACTTCTAACTACGGGATTACATGGAATTCCTACCAGTTCCGGAATTATACGGAATTCCTACCAGTTCCGGAATTATACGGAATTCCTACCAGTTCCGGAATTATACGGAATTCCTACCAATTCCGGAATTGGACGGAACTCGATCAATTTTCGAGTGGGTATCGGATATTATGTGTCGATCGAGTTCCCGGAATTGAACGGAATCGATTCCGGAGCGGAACTGGTTCCTGAAATGTTCAACATAGCGGAATAGGATGACTGCTCTTATATAATCCTTATTCAGCTAGTCTATCCAGTTTAACTGTAGTAACTAAGAATTCCAATGGCTTGAATAGGCAGGTAATCCTAGATCGATTTCATCAAGTATAACAATTGGCAATATGAAGAAAACGAAAACTTATATCATCAAATTTGATACATGATTATATACCACACCCACACCGTATAGAGAGGTCGCATATATATTGGATATATTCAATAACAAGAACATCAAAATTAAATTCTTGTATAAAATATAGAAAGAGATTTATAGTTTTAAAGAAAGAATTGAAAAATCTGTCATAGTGTATATTTTCCAATGAGTTTTTTAATTCAACAAAATTTTAGTTATTTAGACTAAAATAAAACATGTTTGTTGTACTTAATTCTTGGATGATCAGAATGATATAATTGTTAGATTGTTAGAAAAATACAATCAAATATCTTTATTTGAACAAATAAAAATAAATTTTGTATGATCAATTTAAAGTTTTTGACGAGATATCGATTTCTTTAAAATAGTATTAATGACTTTCTCATGATATTTGTATATTAGTCGAAAAATATGAAGATCATGTTTAAAATAGTTTCCTGTACTAGTCTCTCTTTTTTATTCATCATATGAATTCTAATATAAATATGTGAATAACTAAGCAGATCGAATATCCTGTGATAAGATTCTAAAATTTACCTAATAATGTTTTTACTGTATGCGATAGCGTGCGTTGTTTGCACGGATATCTTTGTCAACATTTAGTTAACAACCGATGCAGCATAGCATTTCTTTTGATTTTAAAATATTTGGGTCGACATAACTGCATATAAATCAATTAGAATTGACATTGTAAATATTTAACTTTCAGCTTGAAAGATATGTATGTGCATGATGGCATATACTTCATATAATAAAATGATGCCATTTTATTCTCTTGATATGAAAGGAAAAAGAAAAATAAGTACTTGTATAAATTAACTATACGAGAGGAATCACTTTTTCATTCTATTTTGTTCTTGTGCTGACACAATATAGAGAATGACTTCTATATTACGGAGTAGTTTAGTTAAATGATACAATAAGATATCATATTTCTTCATTAGAAGTGTAATGATACAAATAGTTTTACAGGTCGTATTACATCAATTTTACTTTCTTCTTCATTTACAGAATACATTTACAAATTTCTGTTCTTAGCTGAATATATATTTCAAGGTACAATTCGTTTTAATTTCTTAGTACCTTCTTAGCTTGAATTAGACAAAATAATTAGTTATTAATAAAATACAAATTATTTTATTCTTTTAAACATTTATTCATATCCTTCGTTCTAGAAATGCAATCCGTATATAGTCATCGACGTCTAAAATATATATTTATGTCAAGTGTTTCTATTCTTATGATTGTTCCTATGGTTCGATATTTTGTTAATCATATATTTTCTATTGAAATAAGTTCATTGTATTTACCGTTGTGCCCTTATTCATTCAAAATAAATAGTAATTATATAGTTTATGATGATGCCTCGTATTACATTCATCACTATCCTGAGTTTATTTGTCCACAAAATTTTCGAAATTTAGCTGATTGGATTTATGGTTGGCCTGAATCTGTATTCAACGAAAAAATTGAATATTCTGTAAGTGGAAACAAGTTAAATGTACCAAATCTTCCGAATGGTAGTATTATTTATGTTAAAATCGACAGTATTTCATCTTTTTTCTCAAATATATATCCATATCTAATGTATAAATTTGTACTAATCACTGGTCAAGGTGATGATCTAATGCCAAGCCGATTTCTTCGTTACCTTGAAGAATCTGATTCAAAAATTATTCATTGGTTCGGTCAAAATGGAGATATCAATGCAACAACAAATGAACGTTTTACACATATACCAATTGGTAAGTATAGAATATACTAATAGCCTCTCGAAATCTACTTTTTAACAAAAAATTTGATTTATTTTATATTGCAAATTTTACAAATTAACCTATCATGTTGTCGATTTCATATCTTCAATGGATAAGAACTTTTCCACTATGAAACTTTCATCTATTCCATTGTTATAGGTATTAATTGTTTTGAAATGGCAGAAGGTATTCGAGGTGTTCATCGACAATACCCAAAACATATTCTTCCATCTATCAGCAACAATAATCTTGATGAACCATCTCATTATATACAACCACATGATATTACACAAAATGTGTTGACAAATAAAAATCAATCAGATAAAATAGTTCTTATTAATTTTCGACCTGATACTGATCCAACTGGTCTACGAGCAAATCTATATAAACGTATATGCAAAAATAATCAAAGTTCATTTACAATTTGTTATGATAAACCTGATGGAGTGAATATTTCAAGTTTACCTACTATTTATAAACGAAATCGACAGTATCCATTATGGTTATCTCCTCGTGGTGGCGGACTTGATTGTCATCGAACATGGGAAGCATTGTATCTTGATATAATTCCTGTTGTTTGGCATTCAACACTTGATTCATTGTATACAAATCTACCAATTATTATTATCAATGATTGGAGTGAAGTTAATGAAGAATTTCTTCGAAAGAAACTTTATGAAATAGCAATGAAAAAAGCTCAACAACCATCTGTATATCAATATGAAAAATTGAGGAATGCTTATTGGCGTGAGATAATAATAAAAAAATCTCGATATGCTTTCAATGAAAAAGACATACAAAGAAATCGATGTTGGCGAGCTAAAACTATTCAATAACTTCGTTTTAAAACAATATAATCGGAATGAAATATCAATGATGATGATAATACAATAGGTCTTGATAAAATCAATGAAAAGTTAAGTTCAAATTTTCGTTACAAGTAATAAAATAACAACCGATTTAGGCAGAAAAAATCTCGTCTTAAATTACATAAAAAAATTCTTCGAGTTACAGAGTAGACAGGAGACAGGTTACGAAAATGCCGTACCCTTCTTGAACTTAGAGATTAACAAAAAAAAATGAAAAGAATAAACTCAACAACCTCGACGAGTGATGTACCTACCTCTCCCGTCTGTCTTTTTTTTTTTGTTTTTTCTGTCATATTTATCTTTCTATCGATCGAAAAAAGAACAAGAATACAGAAAAGACAAACATTGGATACATACTTTATGTATCATTCAGTCTTTATGCATTATTTTTCATCCGAAAAAATTCAGTGAGTTTAACTGTATATATATAAACATGTGCTTTCGTTCGATCGTTCTAGTAGCTTGTATTGTTCAGTGAAGCGTGATATGATGTGTATTTATATTAGGAAAGATTCGTTTTTTTTCTTGTTGGTTGACGATTTATTTTAGACAATATTGACGGTGTATTTTTGTATGGTTGAATATGTACTCTATAAACTTATAGTTAGTTAACAGAATATTTTTGTTATATATGAGCGATTTAAAAGAACAAACATCGATGAATACACATCGAGACAGCGGATCTATAAATACTTCGAAGAGTTCTACTAAACATCGAAAAACAGGTGAATTTGTTGCTCGTGAATCTTTATTCACTGAATTATTTTGCATTTCACATATTAATTGTGTGAGAAATGGATTCATTGCTGGTTTTATTCTGATGGTATTACGTCATTTAGTCGATGATTTACTTCATTATGGAAGGTAAAAAAAGAATATTGATTTTCAAAGATAGATCTTCACCTTGTTGTTTTTTTGTTAGACTAAATTGGACATTTGAATTATTGTTTTTAGCATTTGGTCAATTGCATATTGTCATAATTATTTGGTCTATTATGACTTTATGTACAACTTTTATTGTCTATTATGGGACATATATTTGGGCAAATAATCGTAAATTTAGTGGAACTTCCCTCAGTATAATAATTAAATAAGAAATAAAATAGATAATTAAATATTATTGTTTAGAATTATATGACATAATTTGGTTATTGATCTATATTTGTTATATAATGGGTTTATTGATTATACCATATTGGCAAGTAAATAAATATCAATTGCCATTTGCTTGTGCAACAACTGTTATTCTTGAACAAGTATGTGCTATAGACTTCTAAAAGTCTACACTATGATGATATATGAAAAGCATTTAGGATAGAATATGAAGATTAAATAGATAGAAGAATTAGAAATATCAGACTCTATGATTATAAGAATAGATGAATGTTTCATTCTTAAATTCAACATATATTATTTTCATAATCATAGAAGTTAATTATAAAGATTTATTTAGCTACGTCAACTAATGAAAACACATTCATTTGTACGTGAAAATGCTGGAAAAATAATCTCACAACCAAATAAATCAACTGGTCTGTTATAATATTCTATTTTCATTACGACTTTAATTGAAATATTTTTTTTAAATCTAGATCCTCTGTTATCTTCTGAATTTAGTCATTTTAATCAATATTTATATTTTCTTTATGCACCTACATTAATTTTTCGAGATGTTTATCCTCGAACATCGACTATTCGATGGAATGTTGTCTTTAAAATGTTTGGTCAATATCTAACTTGTGGTTTTTTAGTTTATCATATTTTAGCATATTCTTGGATGCCAGTTTTTGCTCGGTGTTTTACAGAAACTGATTTAACATTGAAATCTGCAATAACATCTATATTTGACTTAATACTTCCAGGAGTTCTCATTATTATATTATGTAAAATATTTATTTGAATAAATACCTATTTGCTTTTGTTTTATTTAAGGTTATTATGGTTTTTTTTATTGTTGGTTGATTGGATTTGCAGAATTGCTTCGCTTTGCTGATAGAATGTTTCATGCGGTAGAATAAGAAAATAATTCATTTTTTTAGAAATAATTTTATATTTCTAGGATTGGTGGAATTCAGCATCATCTGTGACATTTTGGCGAACATGGAATATTATTGTGCATGATTGGCTTTATGCCTATGTTTATGAAGATCTTAGCAAAGTAATTTCAAATTTTGATTACTGATATCATATTTTAATTTCTTTGTATTTAGTTATGTTCTGGTAAAAAAACTCTACCAATAATTTGTGTAACTATTCTTTCAGCTATACTTCATGAATATTGGCTGACTATTGTTTCTGGAATTTTCTATCCAGTGTTATTTGTGTGGTATGGCTTATTTGGAAGTATGTTTATATATTTATTTTGATATTTCTTATGTTATTTATTTTTTCTTAGTGCTTCTTCGTTTTGCTTTCCCACGTTCAAAAGGACCACTATGGAGTCTTTTTTTCTTATTAATGATACCAGTCTATTTCGCAACAGTTGCATATTTATATGCTCTTGAAATGTCTATTCGATATTTTCCTTGGAATCGTGTAAGTTAGAAACATGATTTTATATAATAATAATAATAATAAAATATATATTTATATAGCAAACATTTGAAAATGTAATGGTTAAGAATGGTAATGAATCAAAAGTTGATTTATGAAAAATGAAAACCATTTTCAAAGAAAGTTGTTTACTTTTTTATTTTGATATTGATAAATAAATAAATATAAAGAATAATCAAGCAATCATATATTTTTTAAGTATTATTGTTTTATCAAAGAATTAAATTTGAATATAAGATTTTATATCTCAAATTCAAAACCTCAACAGTTGGAATATATTGCCAATCGAAATTTTATAACAGAGCTAAACTACAGTGTATATTTATATTCAAGCTCATATGATATTAGGTTGTAATTTATGAAAAGTATTCAAAGTATTATTGTGTTTTATTTGCATACCATTAAGTAATTTCTACCTATGTAGTTATATATAAAGGACGAAGAAGAACAAGGATTAATTGATAAATTTTGATGATGATCGTTAAATAATATATACTGATCAACGTCTATTCTCCAGAGAATATCGATCATCTTATTTATTTTTTTGTAAGAAATTAGAAAAAGAACTTCGTTATTTCATTTGTTACTAAAGGAAATATACGTTGAATAGACCGAAATAGATATTGATTCGTTAGTTTAAAACAAGATTACGTCTCTTTATTTATTGATGTTATTAACTAAATTTTCTTAAAACTATTAATCTATATTGGGATAGAAAAATACCCTTTGTCTTATGGTTTTTTTTCTATATCATCAAAGTATGTCTACTAGTTTAAAAATCTTCTCTGAGCTATTGTTTTCAACTAACATAATCATTTAGATTTATTACAATTGCAATTAGTTAACTAATTATTTCCAATTTATTTTTTTTTAATATTCATTTTTTCATTTAAATATTATATAAAAATTTTTTCTAATTGATAAGAAGAATATTTATTTTCAAATTTATTTATTAGAAAAACTTTGATATTCTCTCAATTGAATTTTCAGTATACAAAATATGATCAAAGTATGTGAAGAAAAATGTGTCGTTACATTTGTTTATTTACTTTATTAAAGACGTTATCTACCTGTATGTTATTGCATGTGTCATTAATATAAATATATAAAGAGAAAAAAAACTAATCCTTCATATAACCATTTTTTTACTCTAACGAAAAAAAGATAAATCGAATATCGATAAATAATGCTTTTTTTTATATAAAAATATATCTAAACATGTGCATATTATACTCATTAGCTATTATATTATTCGAATAAAACTATTTTAATCTATATTAAGAATATATACATGTAATAGATATTATAAGTACTATCTGTTTGGTATGATTACTTTTCTTAATAATAATTTATATAAAAATATCGATATTCATTCTCTTGTGAATACAACGATAAAAAAAGAAAAGAATTTAGTTGAGAATATTTAATTATTTTTATCTCTTTACACGTTTTTTTTGCTCATAAAAATTTTAAGAATGGAATGTTTAAAAATATTCAAAAATGAATTTTATTTAAGAAAAATTCTTTTTCTTTTTGTTAAATATATTAAATGATCTTAGACTAATTTGAGATTATTTAAAGACCAAAGACATAAAATTACATAATAATCAGATTCAGTTAAACTTTATGAAAAGAAATGATATTTTCACCACATCCAGTGATCTTATTTTAACAAAACAGTAAAGCCAAGCAATTCTATTCTATCTAATAAAGTAATGATATGAGAAAAAAGTAAAATATAAATCGAAAATAGTTAGGAAGACACTCAGACGCTGTAAAATAAATACAGTATCGCGGCAAATACCATTAAGATCGATAAGATTCTACTAAAAGGTGATCCCCAGCTGCTCGAAAATGTTTTTGTCCATGACGATAATGCATAAAATAGATTTCCAAAAAGATACATTGCAGCTACGGTTGGTGTCGAAGGCATACTAGATGTGAAATATGCTTCAAAAGGATGAAGAGTCATTACAATAAAAACAGAGATAAACTTTATTTCATTGAAGAAATTATGACGTGTATAATGAAAAAAGCCGATTAAGAACATAAATATGAGGACACTTAAGGCTAACCGCATAAATAAATGATAGATTGATAGACCGTTACCAAAATATAACAGGCAAAATATGAGAGGAGTATCACAGATAAAACAAACAATATTGAAAAGATGTGCCACATATCCGTTGTAGCTTTTCGAATTTAAGCCATAATAAAATTCCCAAGCATAGTAAAACATTCCAGCAAATAAGGGCCATCGACATATTCCTTTTTGTAAACAATGATTTATTGTTACCAGATAACATAAAATGTAACTAGTTGCTCCGATGAATTTCATAAGTAGAACACTATTTGTTCGTTGATTAAACATTTTTATTGTTGTCATTTTTGGATTTATATGATATACAGTATATGATCAAGATCGATAATATCGCGATTAATCTGATAATAAGAATTTTGAAAGAAGAGTAATATAAAATTAAATAAATCTATCATCTTGTTTGTCTGAGATCTCATTTAGTATTCAACGATAGATATCAAGCTTTAGTGTAATTTGCTTACTACTTTTAGTATATAAAAACTATAGATATATATAACAATATCCTCGAAATACAATTTTTTTTCCTATTTCATATGCATAAACTACGTCAAACGAATATTTACTATAATTATTGTTGCCCATTTTGAGTTTTCATTTGAAATGAACTTAAGTCAACAAAATGTTGATCAAATCTGTACTTTTGTATATTTATTTGCACTTAAATACACTATCTATACTAAAATATACTGTTTTCCCTTGAAAAGAAAGATCTATGTAAATATTTATTGTATAATATATTGTTCAGAAGTAGAAACTTTGAATCGATTTATGATGCATCACAGACTGAGGTATAGAGTAAGTGCTAAGGAAAACTATTACATATAATTTTTCATCGCATGAAATCGATTGTAAAAATATCCAATGTCCTGTTTAAAATTTCTTATCCTACTTACTTATTGATATACGTTTCATACGCTGAATATGTAACACTATTTTTCGTATATTTATGTGTATAATTATCGATCATAGAAGAAAAAAAATAATGATAAGATAAAATTAATATGGAGTGTATTCTTGTCTAATGTTTTTTTTCTATACATATATTATTCGGATATCCTTTTCGTTTGCTTTGATAGGACGCACCTGTGTCTAGCGTCAAATATTCATTATTAGAAGTGAAGTATTATCAAATCTATTCTCTTTCTACATTAGAAAAAAACTAATACGATTTGCAATCATACTTTATATGTTAGTATCTTTCATATGCTGACTCATTATTCTCGTGAGTACCTATTTATTCTTTGCATTAACGCACTTGTATAACTTTTTTTATTGCTCATCTTAGTTTTACTCTATGGTTGCTAACTAATAGCACGTTTTATTTAGTAAATTTATTTTTTTTCAATGAACTTTCAGAACTTACTAGATGGTTAGGGTGTGGGTGTGGGTGTCGGTGTGCGTGTGATTAGTTATATCCTCTTTTACGAACACCCACACACACTCTCAAGATATATTTTAATTATACAGAGATTTCGCTAAAAGCATGATATATGTGATTAGCAATATTGATTATTAACTTTAGAGAAAACTATAATAGAGGGATTGAAAATCAGATTTTAGCTACGTATATAACATAAATCCAGTTTCAATATGAAAGCATATGAACTAAGTAGCAAAAATATAAAATACTACAACAAGAGTTAAATGTTTAATATTATAATTCTATACGAGAGAAAATTTACTCATCAATTTTATAATAAAAAATATCGTGTAAATTTAAATAACAAATAAATAAATATGTCAATACAATAATAATAGTATTTATAATGTCAATCTATTGAATATTTATTCTATCAAGAAAAAAATAATATGAAAATATTATAAATAGAATGAAAGCAAGTAGAAATGTCCATAGACGATATGAACATTTCAGACATTGTCCATTATTATATGACACAAGAATAAGAGTAATTATATGTAGAAAAAATTCGTGATAATGTTATTGCTTTCTCTGATCTTACTGAATCAGTCAAAGATGCTGATATATTGATATCTGTTATACCACATCAAGATGCAAGTTTGGATTAAGAGTAGAGACATCCACACCCACACCCACATTCTCAAAAGTTTTTCAAGTATTATTGTTTTATCAAAGAACTAAATTTTTTGCGAATCGAAATTTTATAACGGAGCTGAACTACATTGTATATGTATATTCGAATCTATGTACGATTAATTTATGAAAAGCATTTTAAGTATTATTGTATTTCATTTGCATACCATTAACTAATTTGTACCTATATCTTCACATGAAGAATGAAGAGTAGTAAGGATTAATTGATAAATTTTGATTATGATCGTTAAATAATGTATATTGATCAAAGTCTATTATGCTTAAAACCAAATAATTTTATTTTTTCTATTTACCTCATAATTTGTTCGCATGATACGATCAAATAATTGACGAAGCATTTCGATGTGTTAAATTATGTGTAAATCGAAAGTTACTTGTTTATTTATAGTGTTTCGGCAGCCGATAGGATTCTAAATTGGGTGAGTGTGGATAAATCCACTTAAGTCATAACGATACCCACACCCATAACCAAAGCCATTTCCAGTTATTTTTTTAATAAATTCTGCTACTCCTCGCAGATGATCACTCGAATGTGATATGAAATTTGGTGATATAATATTTAGTTCCTTCATATAATCATTGAATTTTTGTTCAAATGGATGTCTTAATTCAACAAGACCTTCATTATCAATTTGATTTATTGTATCAGGATAATTTGAATCCAAGTACGATGAAAAAATATTATTACAATCATTGAATAATTCCTAGAAAATAATGTTCGATTTTGTTTAATACTTTAAAACATATTTAAATGATTATTTTACTTTTTGTTTATTTTCAATGTCGAATAAACTATCAATGTTTTTAAGTAAGTTTTCAATTGTTAATATTTGTTCGTCATGTTTTTCACTGGGATGAACATCTTCAGGGTGGGTGTGGATTATATTCCGAATATCGTATTTATAACATTCCACACCCACCCA